TGAGAAATTAGTACTTTAATATAGCAAAGATGTATTAAATTATATTAAATCAAATATAAAAAATATTATATTTTTAAAAATATAATTAAAAATATACATGTTAAAATATATTTAATATAACACTTTCCCTAATTGCAGATTCAATTATTAGATTTGTCATTATTAATATTTTTATGCTTAGATGTTTGGGGGGGGATCAACCTGTAACACCGTGTGTCCCAACCAGACACGACGCGATAAAAAGTATCTTTTCCTTGTAGTTTTTGTCCTAACCACCCGCGACAGCAACACGTGATAATAAGCTACATGGGATTCTATTTTAGTAACGGTTTTTATTTTCTGCGACATCGCGGCAGGAACAACATACAAAATATGACAGTGATTATCTCAGGTAATGATTATGTGCTTTATTCAATGTTAAAAGTTTCTAATGTGACTTTGAATATTATTTTGCGTTACCTTTATAGCCATAGTGAAAGCAACAATAGATATTTTACCTCAGATCTTGAAAATAAATTAAAGCAAACTTGTACGTTAAACCTGTGAACTCACTGCGAACCAACACGTGTATTCCATAACAAAGATATCAGTCACTCAAAACTGTTCAGTCCATTCACATTTGAATCATCTATTTTCCGTGTCCACTTTTCTTTTCTACACACTCGCCATGTTTTTGCTGTCACATCGTATCTGCACTGGACGCAACAAAGCATCCGGTGTAGACACGAGGTAAGTTAATGTAGCTTTCTGATGCTGTGTTTGAATTTTCATGCCACATTATTTGAAATTAGCGCGGGCCAAACTTTTTTCTCTCGTGGGCCGCCTATTGAGGAACCCTGTTTTAAAAACAGCTATGAGGAGTACGATATGGGGCCAATGGCATTTCACCATGTGTGGAACTAGTGACACAATGAGTTACAAAAAGAAACCAATTCTCCGTCGTTTGTGTTGTTTTTGACAGTCACTCATGGCTAAAAACAAAAACTTGGAATATTAACATTGAAGATACATAATTCATCACTTAATTTACACGTTTTCAAATCATTTAGTTAAGACATGTTAATAAAGTACAAAGCAACTAAAGTAAACAGATTTAACAGAAAAACACATATTATGCAACGTTGAACTTTGCAAACAAATAAACACACAGAGGACAAGTCCTCATAGCAGGTGTTTTTTAGACCTGGGAATACATTATCATCTTATTAAGACCGCAGGGGAAGCAAAGGACACATGAATCTTATGAGCGATTGCGGTGGGCTTGACAGCTATAATTAAAGTCTGAGAATTAACTACTGATTATTGGTGTAAACACCGTAATCTACCAAGGTCAGAGATGAGGATGCATGAAGTATAGGCCGTTTTATGGGTCTTTTACCATAGTACACTCCTGGGTGCAGCCTGAAGCTAGAAGTAGAAGTATAGGCATAAAATACTAAATTTTTCTGTTCTCACAAGAGATTGGCTATCACAGCTCACAACATATAGCTGTAAGTGAGAGGAGTGTTATTATTACGGCACTTACCGTGTAGAGCTCGTTGAGCACTTTCATCAAATCCTCTTGCAGCTGAAAGGTGATTTCTTTACTCTGAAGAGAGAGAGAAACAAAAAGAAAGAGGAGGCATCAGCTATCAAATCACATTAAAATCAGTGTTTGACAAAATAAAACTGTATGTGTTTGCATGCAGTTAAAATGTTAGTTTTATCAGGGATTTGTATGTGGGCACACATTCTTCACACTCAAGGATTACAGTTCAACTGCTTGCTTCAACGTTTGCAGCTTGTGTGGATTACCTGATCTTTCTGTCTCGCTGGCCACTCAAGACTCTCACTAACCCAATTATATCTCTACTAATCTGATTCCACGAGCCATTCCCAACATCCCAGTGCTCAAGGGTGCTATGAGCGAATCCAGAAGGTAGAGCAACAGCTAGAGCAAGACCTGCAGTCAATCTTCAGAGAACACAATGTCCTTCAAACTAAATTATACTCTCAATCCATGAATTTGAAAGGAACTGGAGATGCTGTCATCATTTTAGTTTATGTGGGTTTATTTAGAAAAATTTTATTTATTTATTTATTCATTCAATTTATTTAGTGAATTTCACCAATCTTATAAATTAAGTAAGTACAAGATGTAGATATTTATAAATAATTAATAAAATCACAGATATATATATATTCCTATTTTTTCCTTCTACAGTAACCGTGACATGGTGTTATTACCTTCATAAACCAAAATACATCACATACATCTATCATATCTTTTAGACTCCATTTAGCACTTCAGAGAGAAAGTAAGTCTTTCCATAATATAAATGTTGATTATGCATCCATTCATCATCAGAATGTGGCTCTGGCTTTAACCATTTTCTTATGGCCATATTTTTGCATACTGAATATGAATTTATCATCATTAACCAACCTATCAAAAGAGATGCTACCCAAATATACTGTCATATTTAAAATAAAATTTTATCCCAACGATCATTTGCACCTGTTGCAAAAAAATTAAAAAGTGACTGAATTCATGCGACATTATATTCATGAAAATTACAAATAACAATAATAATAATAATAAGCAAAGTATCATATTTAAATAAAATATTAAAATAAAATATAATTGAAATTTTAATAATATATATATACACTGAACAAAATTATAAACGCAACACTTTTGTTTTTGCCCCCATTTTTCATGAGCTGAACTCAAAGATCTAAGACTTTTTCTATGTACACAAAAGGCCTATTTCTCTCAAATATTGTTCACAAATCTGTCTAAATCTGTGTTAGTGAGCACTTCTCCTTTGCCGAGATAATCCATCCACCTCACAGGTGTGGCATATCAAGATGCTGATTAGACAGCATGATTATTGCACAGGTGTGCCTTAGGCTGGCAACAATAAAAGGCCACTCTAAAATGTGCAGTTTTACTGTACTGGGGGGTCCGGGGGGTCCGAAAATCAGTCAGTATCTGGTGTGACCACCAAATATATATATAAAATATGTATATAATTTTTTTAATACATTGCATAGACCTCATACATGATAGGCCTATACAGTGGTCAATGTTCCATTAATTGTTGTGCAA